ACAGAGATAGTCGAGGCAAAGGCACTCCCTGCTCATACTACCAACCAGCAGGCTGAGCTGATAGCCCTCACCCGTGCCTTCCAGTTAGCCGCCGGCCAATCTTTAAATGTTTATACAGATTCTAAATATGCTTTTCATATCCTGTTGTCCCACGCGGCCATCTGGAAGGAACGCGGGCTTCTCACAGCGAAGGGAGGGTCTATTACCAACTCAGAGTATATTATGGACTTGCTGAGGGCCTCCTATCTACCTAAAGCTATAGGAATTATTCACTGTCGGTCTCATCAGTCTGACAGTTCTATTGTTTCCAAGGGAAATAATCGGGCTGACAGAGCAGCTAAGACAGCAGCACTTAGCTCAGACCTGCCTCAGTTACCTCAGGGAGTCCTTACAGCACAGCCCACAACCTCGCAGACACCTCCTAACACTCAACAGATCCTGTCCTACCTGCACCAGCTTTTTCATCCTAATGAAAAAGCTCTGCTTCATTTTGTAAAAACACATATCAAACCCACGCCTGACGACATCAGGTTTCTAAAAGCCACCACTGCCTCCTGCCAGATCTGCCAAAAGTCAGATCCCAGGACTAAATATCGTAGCTTCCCTTTCCCTACCCACCAAGCAAGGGGCTCCCTTCCGGGAACTGATTGGCAGCTGGATTTTACTCATATGCCCACAGTCAGGAGGATTAAATATCTCCTGGTTCTGGTGGATACAATGTCTGGGTGGGTTGAAGCCTTCCCCACCTCTAACAAGAGGGCCCAGACAGTCTCTGATATTCTCCTCCGAGAGATTATTCCTCGGTTTGGACTCCCAACTTCTCTCCAGTCAGATAACGGTCCAGAGTTTACTTCTCAGATTTCTCAAAATTTGTCTAAAGCGCTCGGGATCCCCTGGAATTTTCATATACCGTACCATCCTCAGTCGTCAGGTAAGGTAGAACGAACTAACCGCTCTTTAAAGGAAGCCCTCATTAAGATGTCACAAGAACTCCACCTCGACTGGGTAAGGCTCCTGCCTTTAGCTCTTTTCCGACTCCGAGCCCTTCCAAGGGGCCCCCTCCTCATCTCACCCTTTGAACTCATGTATGGGCGGCCGGTCTTAACCCCCGGCTTCTCATCGGAGACTTCCCCCCTTCCTGACCACCTGCTCACTCCCCTCCTGTTCCACTTACGCTCACTACTATGGGACTTCACAGATCACTCACTACCTCGACCATGTGCTAATACATGTCCGCCGCCAGTTAAAATAGGGGATGAGGTATTACTCTCACCCCCAGGCCAGCGCCCTTCACCCCTTTCCCCTAAATGGCAGGGCCCTTTCAAAGTAATTCTTTTAACTCCCACAGCTGCCAAGCTTAAAGGAATTCCTCATTGGATTCACCTGTCACATCTTAAACCGTTTATCTCCACAGCTCAAGATAATCCTTCATACACGGTGACTCAAACCGGACCCTGTACTCTTAAGTTCCAAAGGACGCCGGATTCAGCCCCCCTACTACAGTCTAAGGACAACAATGGTCCCGATCCGTCGCTGTGTTAACACACCCTCCCTTCTTTAAATTCATAAATAACCGTCTAGCTGTCGTTACAGGTACCCCCAACAAATGCGAAGACAAGTGGTAAACAGATTCTCCTCTACAAAGCTCTTACGTAACAGGTCAGCCGCTGACTGCAGCAGTGGCTCCCTAAAATGTTAAGAGATGTATGGTTAGAATCTATTTCTTTTAAGACAGTTTCCTTAAGCTCCGGGATGCCAGCCCAACGGATCAAACACAAAGGAATAAGTATCACAAAGGAATAAGTATCACTTAATTTTTTTATCATTTCTTAACCCCGGACATCCTAAGACCCTCTCCCCCCCCCCCTCTTCACCCCAGCTCTCCAAAAATCCCCCCCCTCTTTTAATTTCCCTCTCCCCCCCCCCCTCTTCACCCCAGCTCTCCAAAAATCCCCCCCTCTTTTTAATTTTTTCTTTTACTAATGCAACTTTTGCCTTCCAGCATCTTAATGATGACCCAGCTACTCAGGAAAAGCCACACAGATTTCTTCAATCAGCTGCCTCAGACGACAGCCAGGACTTCAAACATCAGCGACCGACTACACCAGCCAGCAACTCTGGACATCATTGACCAACTACACCAGCCAGCAACTCTGGACATCATTGACCAACTACACCAGCCAGCAACCCTGGACATGGACATCAGTGACCAACTGCACCAGCGACCGCAAACGCCAGTGGGACATTGCCAAGATAATCGGACATTCCCTGGACCCCTCAACGCCCAAAGTCAGCAGGAAGCAGCCATGAGAGACTGGACTACGCCCCCATTCCCTACCCTTTAAGGTCCCCCAATTTTTTTTTTAATCAAACCAAAAGGGTGAAATGTTGTTCCCTTGCAACACTACAACTCCCAACATCCCTCTGGACGGCAAGCGCGGGACACATTTCCCAGAAGCCTTTGCATCCTCTGTTAAAAGCAAGGACAAGCCACAAGTTCGCCCCTTCTTAACCCTTCCCTTGGTCCCTTCCCTTCACTTTTCCTAGTGTGTTTTCCCTTCCCATTAAAAGTGTACCTACCACGTGGTACCGCCGCGTGTCTGTGTCTTTTCCCTGCGTAATCGTCTTTACCCCATAGGACAAACGGGAATTAAGAACAACACTCACTACTACAGAAACTTCAAAATAAGACAAAACCCTAAACTAGAAAAATATTGGTTATTCTTTTACAAAAGTCATAGCCCTTCGTAGCAAATACGTATTTTAATTTTCATGTATACTTGGTGATTTGTGATGGGTCTGTTTACTTGCTTTTGGAATCAGGGCCTCATGTTGCCCAGGCTGACCTGGAAATTCTGATCCTTCAGCCTCAGCTTCCCAAGGGCTGGGATAATGGGGATGAACCACCTGATGTTTTTTACAATCTTTAAGAAAAGTCGGCTTTTTATTTTTATTTCTTTATTTAGAGGTAGGATCTCACTATATATCCCATGCTGACCTTGAGCTCCCAACAATCCGGTTGCCTCTACGAGCCAGGACCGAGAGTGCACTTCAAAGATCTGGTAAGATTTACCTGAGAGGGAACCCGGACTGTTCTGTGGACTGGAGAGGGAGGGGGGGGGGAGAGGAGTGGGGGGAGGGGGAGAAGGGTGGGAGGAGGGGGAGAAGGGTGGGAGGAGGGGAAGGGAAATGGGAAGCTGGGAGGAGGTGGAAACTTGTTTTTTTGTTTATGTTTTTTTTTCTTCTTTTCGCAATAAAAAAAAATTAAAAAAAAAAAAGATTTACCTGAGAAAGGCTGTTCTTTCCTAAAGGCAAAGGGCACGCCAGAACAAAGAGCGGTGGACCTTTATGACGTCAGGCGAAAAATCTCAATCCTATCAGGGAAAGATTTGTGCTATTCAAACAATGCCTTCTGCACAAGGTCTAAGTAGGTGTTGGGGGTTTTTCTTTTTCTCAGCAGACAACAATTAGACTCGGCAACCTCCAACCTACCCTGTTATCCGGGGGTCCGACTTTTTGACGGAGTCCAAGGGTGTTTATATGCAAATGTGTAGGGGGCTCAGGAAGTGTGCCAGACGCGCGGCAGAACTGGGGGGGGGAGGGGCGGGGACGGAACCCCTCCCCGCCCAGCAGAGGTCCCCGCCCCCCACCCTGCAGCCGGTAGTCACGGGACCCACGGCCACAACGGCTTACTCCTCCCACTCCCTTGCTCGAGCCGACGTTGGCGTAATTGGCCGACGTCACGTCCGCTTTAGGAATTCCGAATCTGGAACCCGCGCGATGAAGAGAGCATTCGTGACTGTTGGGACCACCAGTTTCGACGACCTCGTCGCTAGTGTGGCCGCTCCGGACTGCGTCGAGGTAAGTCCGGCCCAGGGCTCGGCTGTCTCAGCTCCGCTGCCCTTCTCTGGCCGCCGCGGTCAGAAGGAAGCGTGGCAGCTGTTTCTCGGGTACCCGGCGCCCTGCCCCAAACCTCTTTAGTCCCCCTCGGGTTTCCTTCTCCGTCCCTCCGCGACCTCAGTGTCTCGTCCCCTACAGCCAGCTCTCCACCACCGCCAGGCCTCCTTTCGCTCTTTGCTGTGTTCTCACAGCCGTTCTCCACTCGACAGGCCCCATCTCAGCCTCTCTCCACCACCGCCGTGCCCCACCCCCTGCGCTATCTACCGCTGCCCTGTCCCACTCCCGGCGCAGTCTCCCCTCTTCCCCCACCGGGCACCCTACCCCGTTCGCAGTCTCCCTCACCCCCAACCCCGTACCCCTCGGCCGGGCCTTGTCCCCTCCACTTTAGTCTCTACTACCCACGCCTTCGCTCCCGTGGCTGGGTCGCTTCCCGAAGCCCTGTCGGGCCCCTCCGGACACCTTGGTCCGCGACCCTTCACCTCTCTGGCTACTAATGGCTCATTCCTTGTTGCCTCGGCCCGCGGACCCCACCCACAGCCCCTCAGACTGGACACAGGTTTTCCTGAGGCGCCGGCCTGTGGACCTCACCCCTGTCAGGCAGGGTACGGTTTTCCCCTTGGTGTCTGTCCAGGCTTCTTCATCTTAAGCCGATTATATCGTTCCCCGACCCCCAGCGCCTCAGTTCCGAGACCCCCGCCCCTCCACGGCGGGTAATGGTTTCCCCGCAGCGTCTTTGTGACACACCCCCAGGTTGATAATGGTTTCCCTGCCACGTCTACGTCTGCGACCCCCCTCCCCCAGCCAGTAATGGTTTGTCCGCAGTCTGCGACCCCCCTCCCAGCTAGTAATGGTTTGCCCGCAGCGTTTTTGTCTGCGGACCACCCCCTCTCGCCGGTAATGGTTTGCCCGCAGCCATCTCTGTCTGTGGATCCCCCACCCAGTAATGGTTTGCCCAATTTGTCTGCTGACCCTCCCCCCCCCCCCCCCCCCCCGCCGGTAATGGTTTGCCCACAGCCATCTCTGTCTATGGATCCCCCCCAGCCAGTAATGGTTTGCCCAAAGCGTCTCTGCGGACCCTGCCACCAGTAATCTCTCTTTGGGACCCCCTACTCCAGCTCGTAATGGTTTGTCCACAGCACCCCTAGTCTTCTCTCTGCCCCCAAACAAATTGCCCCGACTCTTTGAGCAGGTAAAGAGGGTCTTCCCCTTGGGGTGGCTCCCTCCGCCTAGTGGCTCCTGTCCTACCCTACTAGTTTGTCCCGTCCCTGCTCAGCTTGTGAGACAAACAGGCTCTTCCCAGCCAGGCGGTGGTGGTGGTGGTGCACACCTTTAATCCTAGGCCTCGGGAGGCAGAGGCAGGCTGATCTGCAAGAGCTAGTTCCAGGACAGGATCCAAAGCTACAGAGAAACCCTGTCTTGAAAAACAACAACAACAACAACAACAATAAATGAAACAGGCTCTTCCCTTGATTCCCGCCTGGTTTCCGACTCCTCATTCAAGGTATATTGTTTTTTTCTGCCCTCTGTGAGCTGGCTGGCAGTGAGGTTCCCTGGTGGTACCTGGACAGGGGCGGGCAGGGAAAGGACTAATTTTGAACGCTAACTGGTCAGCCACAGTTAGGTTTTGTATAGTTGCGCCCTTCACTTGAGCAGCAATTTGGAGGTTGTTTAACTGCTGTTCATGAAGGATTGATCTCATTTAAAAGGACTGCATTTTCTTATTTCCTGTTCTAGATCCTCAAGAGTCTCGGTTACAACCAACTTGTCCTCCAAATTGGGAGAGGCACAGTGGTTCCTGAACCATTCAGTACTGAGTCATTCACTCTGGATGTTTACAGGTATAAGGATTCTTTGAAAGAAGACCTTCAGCAAGCAGATCTTGTCATCAGCCACGCAGGTAAAATGTCTGAGCATCTTGGGTTTTTTTTAGATTTATTTATTTTCTGTATATGAATGTTCTATTTGCATGCACACCTTTATACCAGGAGTGGGCATCAAATTCCACTAGAGATGGTCGTGCGCCACCATGTGGTTGCTGGGAATCCAACTCAGGATCTCTGGAAGAGCAGTCAGTGCTCTTAACTGCTGAGCCATCTTTCCAGCCCCAGAATCTTCGGTTTTTATCTTTGATTAAAAAAACACTTACCGGGCGATGGTGGTGCACTCGGGAGGCAGAGGCAGGTGGATCTCTGTGAGTTAGACCAGCCTGGTCTACAGAGTTAGTTCCAGGACAGGCTCCAAAACCACAGAGAAACCCTGTCTCGAAATACCAAAAATAAATAAATAAAATAAAAAACAGACACTTTAACCTTTTCAAACTGAATTTACAAGGACTAGAGATCTAATTCAGGGTACATGTTTAGCATGTGGAAAGACCTGGTTCCAGTTCTTACCACCACAATTAGGAAAGCCAGGCCCCATGGCTGTAATTCTTGCCCTTGAGAGGAAGTGGTGAAGGCTAGCCTGGGCTACTTGAGATACTTTCTTAAAAATCTGTAAGTTAATTACACAGAATAATTCATAGCAGCTTCATTTTAATATAATTATTTGACTTGAATGTATCCATTGATAACTTTAGTGGAGAGAAGGATATTTCTAGACAAGAGTGTATAAAGCTATTTTTGTCCACTTTTATAGTACAAAACTCTAAACAGAGGGGAAAGATAATGTATTCAATGATCATAACAAATTGTGAATTTGTTTTTTTGGTTTTACCGAGACAAGGTTTCTCAGTAGCTTTGGAGCCTGGAACTAGCTCTTGTAGACCAGACTGGCCTCAAACTCACAGAGATCTACCTGCCTTTACCTCCCAAGTGCTGGGATTAAAGGTGCATGCCACCGCCTGGCCAGATTGTGAATTTAAAATTAGTATTTAGGCTTAGATCTAAAGGACATTAAGCCTTTTCAGTGGTAGGTGTGGGTTGTAGTAATAACCATTTAAGGATTGTCTTTTTAGCACTTCTGTTGAATATATGTAAAATAGATGCAGTAAAATATTATTTATTTTTGAATAGGATATGGTAAGAAAATTAAAAATTTTAGAGTTATAAATTGTGTATTCAGAGACATAAGCTAATAGATTTAGAAAGTATATTGTAGCCTAGCCTTAAGAGATCAAACTAACGGAGTTCCTGAGATTTCCAGTACTTTTAGAAAAGATGTTTTGGGGGAACAGTGCAGTTTTGTCTGCTATGGGTATTTGTGGGTGACATGCTGGTTTTTCTAAAGACTTGATTTGAGGAGAGAAAACTCCTTAGAGATAGACATTACTGCTGGGCAGCGGTGATTTAATCCCAGCACTGGCAGAAACAGGAGTTCAAGGTCAGCCTGGTCTTTGGAGGAGTGAGTTCCAGGCTAGCCAGGGCTACTGGAGAAACCTGTCTCCAAAACCAGAAAAACAAGAAAAGTCATTATTAACATCCACATTTTGTTAGGTGTGAGGTAACTGAGACACATGGATGTTCAGTAATTCGTAGTTGTAGAATATAACAATTTAGCAGCAGAGTCTGTCTTAATTACTACCCTAACACTTACAAAAAGGGTTTATTTACTCTAAATAATCTCTAATAGTCCTCCTAAATGTCATTTACTTGTGTGTATGGTTGCAAGTGTGCCATGGCATGTTATGTGAAGGTCAGAAGGCAACTTGTGGGAATTGATTCTCTTTACTCTGGGGTTTCCATGGTGGGAGCTCAGGTTTTCAGGCTTTGTGACATGTGTCTGCTCAGCCTTCTCCCTAGCCCTCTAAGGAATTTTAAATCTCAAAGTAGAAGTGATCATAAAATTTGCATATTTGTGGTGATCTAGTCATGACTATCTTGGGAATAGCCTTCAGGGGTAAAAGCATAAGGATTGTTTTCTGTTTTAGTACTTGTCCTATTATAGGCTAGCCTTTAAAAATGTAAGAAAAATTTAGTGCATTTATTTGTTTTCTTCCTCTACCTACCTCTCTTCCTCTCCCCTGTCCTTTCCTCTGTGTGTGTGTGTTGTCTTCTACCATGTGGGCTCTGGGGCTATCTTAAAAACTCAATAATTTTTAAAAATCACCTTTATTTTTTGTATCTGGTATGTGTGTGTCTGATGTCGGTCCGTGCATGTGCATCTGTGTGATTGTGTGTGTATGTGTGAGTAATACATCTGTGTGTGTTGAGGCTAGAGGTAGACAATGGGTGTCTTACTGGGTTGTTCTCCACGTTTAGTTTATATATATAGTCTCACTATGTAGTCCTGGCTTGCCTAAAATTCAATATGTAGACCAGGCTGGCTTTGAGCTCACAACAATCTGTCAGCTTCTGCCTCCTGAGTGCTGGGATTAAAGGTTTGCTCCCACTGTTTTTTAATATGTATTTTTTAGTTGTATGTATTTGTACACCCTGGATGGAACTGGAGTTACAGGTAGCTATGAGTGACCCAATCAAACTTTGGTTTTCTGAAAGAGAGCAGGACAGTATATGCTCTTGATTTCTGAGCCATCTCTAAGCTTTCCACATTATTTTTTGAAACAGGGTCTCACTGAACCTGGAGTTATCAGTTCAGGTCACCTGATAGGTTAATGAACTCCAGGGATTTCCTGTCTCCTTCCTCCCTTAATTGGTGTTACAGATTGAACTCAGCTTTTAATGTGGGTGTCTTCAGGGCATAAACCTGCCTTTTCTGTTTATATTTGGATAGAAGTGAAGTTGTTAATGGTAGCAGCTAGGGATTTGGTAATCTCAGAGCTCTGGAGGTTGTATGTATACAGGACAGTATGGTAATGGTAAGTTCAATGTCAGCCTGGACTTTTTGTAGCAAGTTTCAGGCAAGAATAGGCTGTAGGCTTTCTATTCCCCTCCCCTCAAAAAACATTAGAGAAAAATTAGTTGGTACGTTTTCTTTTTGTTGTTGATACAGAGTCTGCTTGTGTGACCCATGATGCTCCTGCTTTAATCTCCCACATGTTGGAATTTGGGGCATGTGCCACTAAACTTAATGTTTGTCATTTTTATGAAATAAGTAAAAGGTTTGGTTTTATAATTTTACTGACTAATTTTAGAAATAAAACTATGATAGTGTACCATAAGTTAAAAAAATTGATTTAATAAGTTATTTTTGTAGGTGCAGGAAGTTGCTTGGAGAGTCTGGAAAAAGGCAAGCCACTTGTGGTAGTTGTAAATGAAAAGTTAATGAACAATCATCAATTCGAATTGGCAAAGCAGTTGCACAAAGAAGGACATCTCTTCTATTGTACCTGCAGGTATACTAGAGACTGATCAGTTGAACTCTTGCCTTTAATTCCTTCCCAGCTGTTACCCACCTGTCTAACCTTTTGACTTTTACACTTTTCACACACTAACCTCTTATTTGTCTTAGCTTTGACTTGGTTCTGTGTTGTCTTTTTCTGTATTCATGGCCAACCAACTCTGTGTATGGGAATTTGAATGTCTGAAAGTGCGTATGGGTGTGCAGATTTCCAAGAAACAAAGTTTTATAGTTCACTATTCAGGTTTTCAGTGTTCAAAGAAGGTGTATGCTTATATTAAGGACTAATTAATTCAGTTATTTGGACAGTTTCATATATATGAGTTTTAGTTGTTAAAGTTTGACTTTTAGTAAATCCACTGGAAGCCCATATATTCATTCACATATTCTCTTTTACTTAATAAAAAGTTGGTACTTTTTTAAGTGCTTGGGTTACAGTGGCAAACATAATATTTACATTATGGTGCTAGAGTTTCACATGATGAACTATGCTAGAAATAAAAAGACAGGACAATATTGTAGCTGGGATAAGGAAGAATTAGGTAGACTTCAGGAGAGGCTTGACAAATGACCTGATGTTTGAGGTTAGTCCTGAATTAGAAGGAAGAACCAATCATATGAAATTTAAAGACAAGGGAGCTTGAGTTACAAAACCTTTAATTTAGGAATGAACTTGGCGTTTGGAATGCTTGAGGAACAGGGAAGGTTGGTATGGTAAAAGCATAGTGACCAGGGAAGAATGAATATGAAGCTGGGAGGGCATAAGCTCATTTAAGAGTTCTAATTTTATTTTATGTTTAATGAGAAGCCACGGAGCACTTTAAGCAAAGGGATCTTTGGTAAGGAGTATTGTTTTATCAGCATCACAGTAGAAGCTTGAAGAAAAATGCTGTTTTTCTGTTAGTTCTTCTTTGGGACACTAGAAGCTTGCCAAAGGGCCAGGTCAGTAATTCCCAGTTGCTTAATTTTAAAAACTTTTCTAACTTGATATTTTAAAAAAAGTAATCTCATAAAGAAATTAATTGTATGTCTATGTCTTATATTAAAGTTAGAACATGGTAAGTGTGTCTTTGGATTTTATTTTTGTTTCTTTCAGACATTTGGTGTATACCTGTGCATTCATTAAGTATGAAACACTTGTTATGACATGCTTTTTTAGACATTTGGTATATACATACATATATATCAGTGAACTAAGCTTGATGTTTTCAGTGGGAGAAGACAGATTTAGTCAGTGATTACTATTCAAGCAGTAAAACTGGTAGTGTGCTTAACTATAATGATGAAAGAAAGGAAATGTTGTCTTGGTAAAATGACTCAGAAGAAAAGCTAGAAATTAGGAACAGTTCAGATAATTGGTGTATCTGCCTTTAAGTACTTGATACTGTTAAAAGTTGACAACTTCATAGGAACAGATCTTCCTAAACAATGTATCAAAGTTAATATTTCTAGGGGCTGTTGAAAAGGAATTTCATTCAAAATGTGTTCACTTCTATTATTTTTGGAGATGATCTCTGTATAGCACAGGCTAACCTTGAGCTCCTGATCCTTCTGAGCTTTAGTGATGATAGATAGGTATGGGCTACTGTCCCCAGCTAGTTAGCTCTGAATTTTTTTTGTTAGTATATTATAAAATACAAAAAATAGATATTTTTAAAAAATATGTATATAAAGACATCCTAACTTTTTGCAGGATGAAATGACTGTATGCTTCCTTTTTTTTTTTTGAAAAAAAAATATATGTGTGCTGTATTGTGGGCCTTAAAGACAGAGGACAACTTTGAATTGTTCTCTCCTTCTACCATGTGTGTTCTGGGGATTGATTTCTCCGTTATCAGGCGTGGTGATAATTACTTTTACCCTCAGAGCAGTTTCTTTGCCCTCCCCCTATCTTTTAAACATTTTTAGAAACTATTAATTTTAGAAAAGTCATTTCTGATAGTATCAAGAATCATTGATTATATTTTACCCAAACCTAGGTTGGATGGTGGTATGTCTGTTCAAATTTAGTTCACTTGTTTAAGTTTCTGAAGTAAGTTTTATGCTGTTTAGAGCCTTATTTCCAACATACATGATGACTACATATTGATTAGTTATGAATTCATGGTAATTTTCAGTAAGTTTTCTTACAGTCGATATGCATGTTATTTAGTATAATAACTCTAGCTTTCTTTTCTGATACCTATTGTTTTGGTTTCATTTATTCTGTTTCCATAAATTTACTTTGCTTTATTTTATGTTTGTGTGGTTTTGGAGAGTATTAAAAAGCAGTATAATTAAAATTTCATTGAAACAACATTTCTGAAACACTTCATTTGACTGAACTAAAAATGTCTATTCAATTTATCCAATATTTTATGGTACTCTTTGTGTTGGCAATAATAGTGTGTATATCCCCATAATATTAAAATTACAAAAATTCACAGTTCATTCATCAAATGGGCAGCAGATAAGCTATGGAACTTTCTCTCATGCTACCTGATATTTTTCTTCTTTTGTTTTAGCACGCTTCCTGGGCTGTTACAGTCAATGGATTTATCAACACTGAAATGTTATCCTCCTGGCCAGCCAGAAAAATTTTCTGCATTTTTGGATAAAGTTGTTGGATTACAAAAATAAACTCTCAACACTTTAAAATACCCCTAAATCCAGTTCATGAAATGTGATAAAATCAAAATAAGTTTATGAAATGCATTTGTAGAACAATACAAATTAATATATTTACTATAAAAATAGAATATATAGAGAATTTTGTGGCATAAACATTGCAGTTGGGTCCAAATCCTAATCAGTAAATTTATGAAGCTTCTCTAACATTGAGTATGTAGTGATGTAGTGAGTTCCTAACTTTGAAAATGTAGTCTTCACAGTTTTGTCCTAGAATCTTAAATGGATATCTGATTGCTTAAGCAACAACAACAAAACCCAGCAAAAACAACCTGGGCACACCTTTGATGAGGCTTAGGCAGGTGGATTTCTGAGTTCAAGGCCAGTCTGGTCTACAGATTAAGTTTCAGGGCAGCCAGGGGTACACAGAGTAACTCTGTTTCCAAAAACTGAAACAAACAAAAACACAAAACTGAAAATATTGAAAAATGTTAATAGAAATCAGATATTAGTAACATGTTACTTTGAAGAAAAGAATAAAATGCTAACATTGTAACATTTGGTGAGAAAGTCAGCATCTGTTGGTTTATAATCTTGAGACAGCTTTTTTTGTATTATGCAGAGAAAAATGGGTTTACTTTGTGGGAGCTAATAGTTATCTGAAAAAGATGATCAAAGTAATTGATCTACTGTACTTCAAGTAAAAGTTCACCTTTTGAACTTCTGATCCTTCAAGTGTTGAGATTACAGGCACACACTACCACACCTGATAATATTTGTTCCTCTGAGAAGGGCTGGGGAGATGGCTCAGTGAAAAAAGTGTACTTGGTGCACAAGTGTGAGGACCTGAGTTTGCATCCTCATAATCAACATTAGTCAGGGATGGTAGTGTGTATCTAGAATCCCTTTGCCCAAGATGAGATGGTAGATGGAGACAGAATCCCTTGAAGATATTGGGCTAGCCAGCCTGGTGTTCACAACAGTGAGTGGCAAAAAGAGATCCTGTATCAAACAAGTTGGAAATTAACCATTGAGCTTGAGGTTTTCCTCTTATTTCCACCAGCTGACCATGGCACACATCCCTACATTCACATGAATGAATGCATACACACATGTAAGTAGAATGTGATAATCTTATCAGTGCTTTAAAGAATAGAGAATAAATCCAAAGATATAACAGTATGACTTGGTTGTTTTTTATTTACATTTTTAATTTTGTGTGTGTATGGATATGTTCATGTGTAAGTCAGAAGACAACTGGGATGTTTCTGTCCTTCAGCCATGTTAGTCCCTAGGATCAAATGTGGGTGTCTAGGTTTGGCAGCAGGACATTTGCTGGCGATCCATGTCATTGGTCTATTCATTTGGATAGACATAGTAGGGTTTGAACTTACGACCTCACACATGCTGGGTAATAGGCTCTACCACTGAGTTACTTTAATTCACATCTGGTGGCCGAAGCGAGCTCAGTAGTTGAGTTGTATTTCAGAGGACATAAGTTTGGTTCTTAAAATATATGTTAACTTAGAGGGCACGGGTTCTATTATCAATATCCACATGGCGGGGTATCCTACCCCCTCTGCCTTTGTGGACACCAGGCGTGTGTGTGGTGCACAGGTATACAGAAAAATAACTATATGAAAACCCAAAATTAAATACCTTCTACAGTGATGAAATGTATGACAGAATTTGGCAATATTTATGTTTTATAAAAATTTTACATTGTGTGATATGTATAATTGCTTAAATGCATAGTTTTTAAATTACAAGAACTCAATATATAAAATTTCTGAGTTTGGTCTCAGAACTTTTAAGATAATATATTTAAGACTAATAGTTCATTGGTAGAAATTTTAGATACAGTTTATCCATAAAAATAGAAATTTGAGAGTTTGGCATGATGGTGCTGTAATCCCAGCACTCTGGAATTCAGCTGTGCTACATAGTTTCAGGTTCTTCTGAGCCTATGCAGTAAGAAATTAAATCAGGTGAATAGATGGGATCGTGACTGTTAAAGGCATAACTTTTGTTTCAAACATTTTACTTGGCAATGTATTTGCATATATTAGACTTATTTTCTTGATTGTCCCTTACTTGGGTTAATACTAAATTTTACTGATGGTAAAAGTAGGTTCTTGAGAAAATACTCTGAATTAAAATTTTGGTGAGAATTAGATATCTAAGTGTAAATAGTTCACATTTCACATCTTCATAGGTGAGAATTAATAGTAATTATGCCTTTATTATATATAGTTATCTTTTTTAAGAAAATGTGCCTATTTATTTGCATGCCTGTGCTTGAGGAGGCCTGAGAACAAACTCAGGGTTTATCTCCAAATAACATCTACTTCTAAGTTGATTGCTCCCTGGCCAGGTCACTTACTAGACTAGATGGGCTGGCCAGTGAGCACCTTGTTTCCACCTCAGTTTTGAGCTTATAATCCCATTGTATCATGTATTGCATTTTTATGTCCTTGGTGGAGCACTTGCTCAAGTCCTTGCAAGGCACACACTACTAAGACACATTCTTAGCCTTTCACCAGCTCTATACTAATTTTTTTTAATAAATTTATTTTATTTATTATGTATACAATATCCTGTCTGTATGTATGCCTGCAGGCCAGAAGAAGAGGGCACCAGACCTCATTACAGATGGTTGTGAGCCACCATGTGGTTGCTGGGAATTGAAATCAGGACCTTTGGAAGAGCAGGCGATGCTCTTAACCCTCTGAGCCATTTCTCCAACCCCCTATACTAATTTTACAAAAGGTTTTATTTAACATCTAGAGATAAAAGCCTAATGTTTAATTGGTCTTTTATTTTTTTTTTATTTATTTATTTTTTTTGGTTTTTCAAGACAGGGTTTCTCTGTGGTTTTGGAGCCTGTCCTGGAACTAGCTCTTGTAGACCAGGCTGGTCTCGAACTCACAGAGATCCGCCTGCCTCTGCCTCCCGAGTGCTGGGATTAAAGGCGTGCGCCACCACCGCCCGGCTTTAATTGGTCTTTTAAAATACCTTTCTCATTTGAGAAAATTGTGGTCTGATGTTTATGTTGGTCACAGCCTTTTAAATGACTTTGTGGCTTGAACGACTAACCATAAAGAATCAGAAATAGTCTATTCAAATATACCTGGAAAAGCAACAGGCTTCCAATTCTTTAATACTTAATACTAGACCACATAATGTAGTTTTAGTTACTCAACAATCCTTTGTGGTATGTGGTAATATTTCTGACTATACCTTTGGTATTTTATATTATGAGATTTTAAGTCAAGATAATTTGAATTTTGCTTGACAAAATTTTTCAACATTTTAAGTTGTGTATTTTCTCAACTGAGGAAAAATACTAGAGGTGACAACTTGCTTAAGAAAACAGCCTTTTGACAGAAATACCATGAGAAACAACTTGATTGAGTCCTGCATTTTTTCTTACCATGGCATAATATTCGTTTTAAGCTTTTATTTGTTTTGTTTCATAGCTAACCCAGAGATATTTTTAAATTTAAATTGTTAAAAGTTATCCTTTTTTTCAGTAGTAGTAATTCTATACCAGGAGTTTCCTTGGTGCATGATAACCCTACTTAGAACTAAAACTTGGGATTTGCATTTTGAAATTTATAAAAGTTCTCTGAGGATCAAGGGCAGAGGATTGTCTTATTTTGGTATTTCAAAGCAGGGTTTCTTTGTGTTACAGCCCTGGCTCTAGCTTGAACTAGCCTTTCTAGAAATGGCTGGCCTTGACTCAGTGCTGGGATTAAAACCCTGAGCTACCACTGCCCGGCTTAGAGAACTGTTTTAATTGACTTAATTCACTTTAAGACAATTATATAGACTTTTAGAGATAAAAGATATTTGAAAATAGTACTGGTGTGTAAAAAAGGCTATCAGGTTTATATGTTACTATTTCTTATAAAAAACGATTTTACTTGAAATATCTTTGAATAAAGTTAATTTTAAAGTCAATGGATAAGTGGAATGCTGTTTAATACTTTTTTATTAGTGTTATTTAGATTTCTAGATATAAGGAGGCAAAAAAATGATTTTTGGGAAATTGATGCCATGGACAGATTCAGAAGTGACTTTTCTGGTCCTACAAAATTGAGCATATGAGAGGTTGATGTTATGAGATGATCTTGGAAACTGGGAATTTTAGATTTGATGGCTTATAGTTGGGAGTGAATGAGCTGGAATGGTTGGGAGGTCTAACCAATGAACTTGTTACAAGGTTCTGAAGCATAAAGTAGTCAGGTGTTTGTTGATTTCAGATACAAAGTTAAGTCAAAGGGCAATATAAAAAAAAGTTAAGACTAAAGTCAGGAATGACTAAAAGTACTGTAGGCATTTTTCTTTTGCTGTTAGTGAGATAATAGCACTCAATTCATGTTCATGTAACAATTCGCAGAGATGACTAAATCTGCATATGCTCTGGTAAATGATGTATGGGCAGATTATTTGAAATTGGCTTTTGGAGAATATTTGGGAACATGTAATGATGATAAACGTGATGAGCCAATTTTGTGCTGTACAAAATGATACCACATTTTTCTGGGGAGACTAGGGAAGAAAGAACAATAGTTATGTTTAACACTTGTTAAGTGCTTATATATTGGTACTTATTCAGTTTACTTTACATATGAATTTATTTAACCTCTAGTAATCCTAAGAAATAGTTTCATTTTGTTCCATTTTGTAGATGAAAGGATCCAAGCAATGGGGGATAATCTGGGAATGGTAATTGGAGCACTGAATTCTTAGTGCATGTTCATCATTTATTGGTATAGTAAGATAGTGTATTAAATTATATCAATATCCCCCAAATTGAACATTTATATTAGTTATAGACACAGGGCCTGTTTTTACATTGCTATTTTAAAGTGTACTATTATTCATAGACTTCATGGGGAAAAATTCTCCCAATTGGTTTACCTGATTACAAGTAAGTTATATGCTGTTGTTTTCCTTAAATATTTGTGTTTTGAAGTTATCTTCTGATACTATTTCCTTCATGTCTTTCTTGGTATTTTCATCATTCTCAAAGTCTTTATTTCTATATCTTCTGATAGCTCAACAAGCTTTCCTCAAGCACCTTTAATATTGCTTAAATAGGGATTGTGAATTTTAATTTAAGATGGCAGTGTTTATTAAAGTTTTGGATTTGCCCTAAAATAATACTTCAAAGAATTAGTAATAACTTGTAAAACACCTTGTCTTAGAATGATGGTTTTTAAAATGAACTCTGCTAAGTATAACAAGTGAGGGCCATATAAAAATGTATGGTTACATTTATTAGAAATGTTCAGAATAGGTAAATCTAAAGATAGGCAGGCAACTACTGAGCTGGTGAGATAGGGTAATTAGAGGATAATAGCTGTAAGATAATAGGGTTTCATTTTCAAGTGACAGTGTTCTCAAATTGTGATGGATGTGTAACTGAATATATGAAAAATTATTTTAATTCTACACTTATGATGAATATTAGAAATTAACCAGGTCCTCCCCTCAGTGTTTGTGTAGCACTGGTTGTCCTAGAACTAGCTTTGCTGGCCTCGAAATTACAGAGGTACACCTGCCTCTACCTCCTGAGTGCTGGAATTAAAGACATGTACCACCACTTCCTGGCAAAATTAACCAGTTTTTTAAAAGAGTATAATTCCGTAATTTTTAGTGAAACTGTTGGGAAAGATTTTCAGATTTTTATCTTTCTAAATGCTTGTTTGTTGCCAATGCCTGTTCCACCACAACCCCAGGTAACTACTAATGTGATTTTTATCTAGATTTGCCTTTTGGCATATTTCATATCACACCTTTTGTATCTGGCTTTTTAGGGCTGTTTTTTCCACACTCTTGTTCACAGTTATTTTATAGCCTTCCCAGTACCTGTGTAATTGTCTCATTGTGGTTTTAATTTGCATTTTTTATGACTAATTATGCTGAACATCTTCTAACTACTTATTAGCCATTTTTACTCATTTCGCTTTTTAGACAGAGACTCTAGCCCAGATGGGCCTCAAACTCTTGTTTAGTGGAAAATAACCTTAAAATCCTGGTTTTACAGCTAGCTTCTAAGGCTGGGATATTATACACAAGACAAGCATTCTGCCACCTTAACTTTATTGTAACTTCCCTTTCATTTACCTTTAGTAAAACATTAAGATGTTTTGCCCATTGAAAAAAACTAGATTGTTCATTGCTAACTCTACATGTGTAGTAGAGACCAGCCTCAAACTATCTATGTAGCAGCAGGTGGTTGTAAATGTCTGAAATCCTGACTCTACTACTGGAGAGCTGAGGTTAAAGCCTTGTGCCTCCATGCCACTTTTATGTTTTCCTGAGGATTGAACTTGAGGTTGCTAGCATGCTAAGCAAGCAGTGTATCAGCTAAGCTACATCCCTAGTCATTTTTTAATAATAATAATATATATATATATATTCAATACAAATATTTCTTTGATAAATATATGATATGCATGTATTTTACCCTAGTTTGTAACTTCGGTTGTCACCTGTCTGACAATTTCATTTGTAGAGCAAAAGTTATTTTGTGAAAGTACAATCTGTATGCTTTTCAACAACTTTACCTAACCCAAGGTATTGAATGTTTTTTCTTAAAATATTTTTAAGAACTTTGATTTTATGTATTGATTTCCAAATATTTGTAGGTCAGAAGCTAAAATATACAATACAACAGGGCACAGAGGGGCTCCCTTGCAGCTTTTCTCTTACTGTCTTAACCCTCCCTTGGGAAGCAGCTATCCGGATAAACACAGAAACTTTATATATCTAGTCTGCTTTGCATTAATAAAACAAAGCCTGAGATTTAGGTCTAGGGTTAATTTTTGTATTACAAATGGCCAATTCTTGCACCACTTGATATAAATATTGTATTATCTATTGTATTGCCTTTGTTCCTTTGTCAAAAATAAATTTTGTCTGTTGCTTGGTTTCCTAGGACATACTTTTCTTTCTCTTGTCTTTTTGTTGAGGATTTTTCTGGTCTTTGTTTCTTGGTTTCCTCTATATTTTTATTGTCTTTCTCACCCCTTCCCCTCCAGTTCTTTTTTCAAATTGAAGTATATGAATGAATAGGATTTGTTGAGGTTTTATGTATCCATGTTTAAAGTTCAGAAGATGTAAAGAATTTGTATTTTGTCTTTACTTGTAAAATATGACAAAATGAATCAACTTTTTAATTGTAATCCTAAATATGTCTTTCTTACTTGAACTAGTGATCTTAAAAAATGATGGTTTCCCTATAACCAAACAGTATAGTTCAGAACTTGTACAAAATTCCTGTATATTATGGTTTCTTTAGAAAAGAAACAAGGTAATATGAAATTGGTATGGTAAGGAAAGTCAAGATTTTATTCCTTATCATGATTTTATTTCATTCTTAAATTATAAGTGATGGTCCCTGTTTCTTCTATAGATAGCAGTCTTAATTACTGCTGACTCACATAGAAGAATAACAGTTTTGATAGCTACTTTACGTTACGTCTTTAAAGTCAACGTTTTTCTTTGATTTAGAGTATACTATTTTTTTTGTCAAACCCATGTAGCTAGGACCTTACATATTTAATTTAGTGTGTTATCACTGTACAAATAGGAAAAGTACAAGTTTAACATTTCTAGATCAATAGGAAAGAAAAGCTGTTGACTTATTTATTTGGGATGCTGGTATTGAATCTAGTGTACAAGAACCTAGTATGCAAGCTTTATTACTGAGCTGTATGCCCCTAAAACTTACTTTTTAAGGGTTGTATTTTGGCATTTAAGTAAAAATAGTACTTGATGTCAAAACAAAATAATAAAAATGGAGCCCCCCCCATGATTCAGAATTTTTTCTGCAAAGTACACTAACATGTAACAACATGTCAAATATGTTAATGTGCCGTC